AACATAATTAAAGCATAGTGATTAATCACAAAAACAATATGTAATTATATATGTGTTTTCCGGTGGTCTCAGGCGACCCCTGTGAAAGGGTCGTTCGAACCCCAAAGGGGTCGCGACCCACAGGTTGAGAACCGCTGCTTTAGAGGGATGTTATCACTAGTTTATCAGCATTACTTCAGGTCCAACAAGCTATAATCTGTGTCTACAGAAGGAATTGGGATTTTAAAAACAGTTCTGTGTGTGTGTGTGGGGGGGGGGTACTGGAGGGATAGGGAGACCTCACAGAGGGGAGTCAAATGCCTCAGCAGCCGTCTGTACCCACATGAGCTCTAAGGTCCCATCCAGTGCTCTCTCTTTCAGGGCGTTCATGAAACAGGGCATCATGTGAACAAAACAGATAGTTTTTCCTTGCCCACGGCCCATCTCTGTGATCAGTCACTGAAACAAGGAAGCTTCCTCTGCTGTCTGCTCTGCAGCTGAACGAGGCTAGAGCAACAATGGCAGCAACTCCTAAAAGGCAACCCACGTGGACAGCGAAAAAAAAACGGCAGAAAAATACAAGAGGGAAACCTCCCTCTGGAGGGAGGAGGACATGGGATGAGTAGAAAGAACATTTGGTTCCAAGCGGGGGAAACTTCTAGAGAATGTGTGCAGGCACTTTTCCTTAGAGCGCTGGGTAACAGTGTGATGTGGGTGTACATATATAAAAGAGTCATAGACTCACTCACCGTAAGAAAACAGCAGATTGGATCCTCTGCCCCAGAAAACGAACTAATTTCTTTGGAAAACTGGAAGAGAAAAAGATTTAAACAACGTTAAGTCCATTCTGTAACTCAGCACAGGTGTGCAGACGTAGATAGTGTGAGAAATCCCAGCCCTGGCATGTGGGCACTTAGTAGGTGCGCAGTAAATCTGAAGAACAGTGGATGCATAATGGTGTGCCTGACTACTTGAATTTTTTTAAAAAGAGCTTTGAACAATTAATATGCAGAAAGCAATCATGTGTGTGATTCTGCGATCATGAGAAAGATGAACCTCATGATGAAGGATCATATACTTTGGTGCCTGAAAAATGAAGTTTTGGGTGGATATTTTTAAATGTCATGTCTGCACCCCCACCACGCAGTTGATTGACGACCTCTCAATAAGTAAGCAGAGTACCCCATGCCTGCACTTTGCCCTTTCCCAAATGGCAGACCTGCAACTCCACACACCCCCCCACTGAAGTCAGTGACCCCACAGGGACCCATAATTGGGCTCAGATGGGAATGTGGACTTGGCAGAGGGCGCTGGGGGCTACATATCAGGCCAACTGTGTAATCCCGCGAGGAAGCCACGGTGCCTGAGATAAAGTGTGGGAAAGAGCCGAGATGAAGTGCATGTTGGAAGAGGAAGCCTGAAAGACAAAGGGAGATAAGGCAGTGACAGCAGCAGACTGTGTAATCTACATCACATAAGGGACTAAACTCAAGATCCAAGTTTTAAAACATTTCCAGAGACTGTTTTAAAGATGCCTTTGCAGGTTTAGGAGGGGCCGTGAGGCAAAGCTAGTCTGGTTCCTGAGACTGGCCGGTTTTCACAGGATCCCAGAGCACTTGGGATTGAGAGCTATATGAAGGCCACTGCTTTTCCTCCTTTTCCCTAAAAGGAAGAGAGAGGCCTGGTCACTAGGGCGGGATGGAGAGCCTCCTCCTCCTCCTCAGCACGCTCCCTGGCAGCAGATCCTGACTCAGTTCCTCAGAATCTGAAAGGCGTTCCTCACAGTCCCAGAGAGAAGTCACGGGCCATAATGTCAGACTGTGCTAGGAGAGGTGCGGGCTGCTGAGACGATGAGATTCAGCCTCGTGAGAAGTTTATACTCTAATTGAAAACACAATATGGAAGCAAGAGGAGCAGAGAAAGCTGGTACATGCTGGTAAAATCTCTGAGCACCTTCTTTTTAAAGCCACAGTTTATAATCCACTCACATACAGTAACCTTTTCATTCTAACGGCAGACGAGATGTCTACAGTAAGAATCATAAAGACCATAAGACTGATTTCAGAGTCAGACCTGACTCTGAATCGCAGCTCAGTCACATAACAGCTGTGTGATTCCAGTTCCGTAAACTCTCGGCCCCCTTCCCTCATTTGCATAATGGTAATACTAATACCCACTTCATATAATGTTTCAAGTTTCTAGTGCAGTGCTTGGCATGTAGAAGAGACTTAAAAAGAAAAAGCTTTTAATGCCAGGTGGCACAGCATGTCTACATATCTGAAATACTAGAGAAGGAAGACACAGGAGAGATTTTTATAACTCATAATGTATCAAAATGTCGGTCCTTGTATTCTCTCACCCCCCACCCCCATTAGTTAAGACAAGTGAGAACAAAGTAAAACTGTTTACTGTGAACAATTAGATCATACAGATAAGGGGAGAAACACCCAAATAATAGAAATCAGCAAAAGCCTCACTAGTGATTACTATGACCATTTTGGTTTATATGGTTCCAGGTTCTCTCCTATGCTCAAGCACACACAGTATATTAGACATATACTTAAATAAGTAAAATTTTATACATATGTACAATTCATTCATAATATACTATGATAGTATTCATATTGTTTTACAATGTGAAAACATTTTATTTGGTATAGTATAAATCTCTTAATTTTAATACACCCATCTCCATCATAACTTTTTAAGGACTTACAAGAGTATTACACTAAAAGAAGTAACCTCTAAATGTGTATTTGTTGAATTTACAGAATCTACCAGTGTCCCACATTTATTAGAAATTACTATACATGAGGTAGTGTGTGGTTCTTTTTTTTCCATATTTTCATCAAAATCATGAAAGGCAGATTGTAAAATGTAATAGTTAACAACAAAGATTGTTTTGGTTTATAAATGGGAGTAGCTTAGAAGAATACTAACTAGCACAGGGAATAACATCACAAATAACAATATCCAGTGACTTTCCAATATGTTGCAAGGGGACAAAATCCTAAGGAGGAGGGCTAACAATGAATAGAGATGTCTATTTCAAGTAGGAAATCCCAAGAATGAAGTGAAACAAGTGTCCCTGTTTCAGTCTGATCATGACACAGAGAAAGTTACTGAAAACTATAAATTCTTGAGTGACCCTAAAAATCATAATCACATTATATGAACTTCAAAACCAAAAAACAAAACCCAAAAAACGAGAATTTACCATATTTAGAAGATACTAGGATTTGAAATGTTTCTATAATTTCAGTATTTCTCATCCAATTTCCTTCGCAGAGAATGGCTGGTGTGGTGAACATATGTGATACAGTTTGCTTAAACTGCATGACACATCTTGTCCTCGATTGAGAAAACTGTGCTCTATCTACAAATGTGACCGGGAGGCTGGGGGAGTGAATGTATCCTCACAATCAGCGAAGAGTGTGAGCTAATTCCTCCTCCAGTTATGACTGTAACTAACCCTTTGTAAGTACTGCCAAGACTGCTCCTTCAAGCAGGCAGGCAGGCAGGAGGTGGGGGGTGGGCAGGATGCAGGAGAGAAAGACAGACCGGGCATACTGTGGCAGTAGAGAAATGCCAAACCAGACACCAGCCGGAATATCCTGGAGAGGGCAAAAGTGGAGAAACAGCCCTGGCCAGTGTGGCTCAGTTGGTTGGACATCATCCATCCAGTGCACTCCATGTTATGCTGTCACATCAATGATTCTCTCTCTCCCTCTCCCTTCCTCTGTCTCTAAAAATCAATAAAGTATTCTTTAAAAAAAACAACAGAAACAAAGTAGAGAAATATAGAGTTTGATTTCTGAAACCAGAATCTACAATGAATGAAGAGGTGAGATACCTATTTGCATGCTACCTCCCAACAAAAGTTCCCTAAAAGTTCATCCCCTGTCCGGTTTATGCAGTTTTTAGGGGAGGTGATAATTTTCGGTGAGGTTCATACTCTTAGACTTCTGTTCTACTTGACCACTTGAAATAGAATCAATATTGGTAGATAAGAACACAGACCTTAAATTTTAGCATTAGATGGAATCGCAGAAAGCATTTCTTGGACAATCCATACTAGGGCCTTCACTTCACATGGCATATGGACTGAGCTACTCTTAATGGATCTTTTTGATTGTACAATTCAGGAGTCAGTAAGATGTCCCTCGATCTCACAATGCATTTCTAATAGGGACAGAGTTTTTGCTTTGCCTAACTCTCTCTTGGGTTAACTGCTTTCTCCGCTGTGTTATGTGCTATATAACATCTCTGTTATACAGTCAAAGCAAAACGATGCTCATTCTTCAATTTGCTTTCAGAGGAACCTTCATACCCTTCAATGGTATACATGGGATGGCCCAGAACACATTCTGCATAGCAGACCTAGCTATCAAAACTGGGGTTTTGATGCTAACATCCTCACCAACTGTGCATCTCTGGTAAATATGACCTGGCCAGGAAAACTGTGCTGATGCCATATATTCCACACTTACAGTAGAGTTTTGAACTACAGACTTTGGAAAATTTTGTCTTGCCATTGTATAGTGTCATCCTGAGTAAGCACAGAATTCCTTAATATTAACGACTACCATTTACTGAGTGGTTATTTTGTGCCAAGTTTTTATCTATTATCTGTAATCCTCACAAAATCTCTGTAAAATAGGTTGCATTAGCCCCATTGTACAGATGACGAAAACAAGGCTCAAGACAAGTAACCTAACCAAAGTCACATACCCTACAAGATAAAGCAAGAATTCAAAGCCAGGTTTATCGGGGTTTCATGGCCAAAAAGAAAAGAACGAAGCATCATGGTCACATGTGATTTTTATATGAAGGCCACAATCTACAGGATTCTCTCAAACACAAAAAATAAATACTTGCTTTTTCTCAATAATCAGATATTACTTTTTCAGGTTATTTTTCTCATAGCAAGAAAGGATGCTAGAAACAAAGTTATCCATGAAATTTGGTAGTAAGTTGTGCTTTAGCTGTCTAGACAGGCATTCTTCAGGCAGAAGAGCAGGACCAAAGTGCTGACAGTTGCAGCAACACAAAATGTAGCCTTGGCAAGTCAGTCTAACAATTACTTTGCATCATTCTGATTATGAGCCACAAGTATGCAATCAACAGCATAGAGACGATCTTAAATGATCTCCATCAGCATTTTACTTTAGTTATCAATGCTTGGCAGATGGAACACATTCTCATCTGACCTAAACGCAATGTTAATGACCCGAACACAAAGAACGTGCAGAAATAAGAGCAGCACAGAGAACGGCCTTGCTGGGGGCCACTGGTTATAAGAGATGCACTGTATTTCATCAACTTTTCCATTTATTACCTCAGCGTAAATAAATAATATTCATGTGTTTCTCATCTGATAAATTCATCCGTAGTCTAACTCAATGGAAAGATTAAGTAAGTTTACAGTTCCCCAGACTTAATACTGCATGTTGTGCAATTCTCTACAAAGAACAGTTTTCATGTTTCATTACACATTTTTGTGGGTTGCATCTCCTCCACTAAATTGTGGCCCAGCTCCAACAGCATGAAAATTTTATCATTTATCTCTCTATTCCCAACACCTAGCACAGTGCTTGGTGTATATAGTAGACATGCAAAATATGCAGAAATGAATGAACATGCTATCCAATGGAATATGCATGCTATCCAATGATATCAAAGAGCATTATATATAATATTTTAAAATCAATGATTAATATTCTTGAATTGCCAAACACACCATGTAAATTCCTTAAAGACAGTATCTATATACCTAACAATTCTAGCAGTTAGCATGTTTATTATAAGA